TATATATATATATATATATATATATATATATATATATATATATAACATGATATGCATGGAAGGACAGTAGGACACAAATTATGGCAAGGAAGGCATGATACAATTTACGACAAACAGAATACCGTAAAAATCATACAAGTATGATGTACACAACTAATAAGGCAGAGCAAATCATGACAAAATCAGACAGTAAGGTAAGAATGATTGAGACTGTACGGAACAGATGCAGTGATAAGCAGAAGTAAGCTGGACTGAGGCGAAGGTGGAGTAAATGAATGAATGAATGAGGAAATAAATAAATGAATAAATAAATAAATAAACGAATGAATAAATAAATTAATGAATAAATAAATTAATGAATAAATGAATGAACGATCGAGATACGAAAATATGCAACGCTCGTCGGGTGGAAACTTTTACACTGGGACGAATACAACTTGTAAATGTTCACAGTTTAACGTATACATAAATTCACTCACACACAAACTCACACACATATACACACATGCACACACATAAGACCAGAGACTTACACACACACAGACACGTACACAATGATGCATAATCATCTGTTCACACAAATAGTATGTGAGTATTACAAGTTGAGCGTTTATATTGGAGATAAGAAGAAAAGGTGAGACTGACCAAAGACTGATAGTAAAGCCTAGAATTAAGTCAAGCTAAAGCCTAGACTTGACGTCGGCTAGACTTTTATTTTGCAGAGTGCCATGAAATAGCGTGAAAAAAAGGAGTACAGCTATGATGAAAATGTCCTGGCTTTGCTTCTTAAGTTATCCTAGCTTGCCTGCTTGGCTGGGCTCTTTCCTTGTCGGCCGGCATAGACTTGCATAGTTCCCGTAACTCTCTCGCAGACATTGAAGTGAATGCAATATTTGTCTATCCTCACCACTGCATCATTACAAATCATTGCGCTGACAAGTAGATAAATGTGTGTAGCGTGACGGGTTCAATGGTGCTTTAATGGTGAAGTGGCTCACAGATATCCAAAGTTGACACCTTGACTGAATCTTCAGTACTGAAGTCAAATGCAATATTTGCAGTTTCCACTCACCGCAGACATGCACTCAGTCAGTTTATATTTGATTTCTCATATTGAATGGGACTGACTGTGCAAAGAGATTAAATGTTCACGCTGTGACCTCACTCACCGATTGTGTACTCACATGTTCCGTTCTTCTTCTCGCTTGTTTCTTAACTGCATTTTTCACTGTCTTGCATTGCTACTGTCAGCACTTTTTCACATAAATTTATTATTTCGACCCTATCACACAACGTTTGTTAGCATTTCGAGGGAAATTTCAATTACTTAGACAACAAACCATTCGCACTTACACACACATCCATATTTTCATTTACTCACTCACCGACAAAGTGTCTGTTTGCATACGCACAGACCGACAAAACATCTGTGCACATGAATATTGATATTGATTGTCTGGGAATGAAAATATCAAATAGTTGTGCATAGCAAGCAAACTACTATCGCTCGTCATTTTGGCTTAGGTCTGATGGAAATGTCTGAGGCTCTGTGTTGCTAAGGGTCGATAATTGGAGACGGATGGTTGTAACTGCAATTGCAGCTGACCAGGGTGAAGTTGGAAGCGTATTTATTATACGATTACTGCTAGTTCGCAAGGTACCAGTACTGCAAGCAGAACTCACACAGTTGATATTATTAATAATATTGATTGCGTTGTTACTCAGATAGTATCAGTGAGAGTTTTTTTCAATAATACAAAATATGCAGATGGAATATAATTTTATTCCGTACCTTTTTCCTATCTTCATCGTGTGGGACTCTCTCCTACGCTGTAATGAGTGAAGTAGTGCTTCTTATGTAGAAGACATATCGCTCGCCAATTAATGAAGTCTTAAATCTGATACTGATATAACCTCTGATAATTTCTACTATCGCTTATTGTTAGTTAAACTCTTAACACGGCTAGGCCGATGATTTGCGAGGTCTTTAGAATGTGATTTATTGTTATGATTAAAAAAATTGCAAAGGTTGAAATGAACTTAATAAATGGCATAGTAATGAAATACTGAAAAATGATTTTTCTGTTGGTAACAGTGTCATTATTAATCATAGTAATTGCTATATTACTGCTGATAACAGCAATGACAGTGCAAATAAAACAAGAGTGCTAATGATTGATAGTATTATTAACTACATTTCACATACCGTTCTATGCTTCTTTAATATTAATAACACGACAAATATAAAAATAGAAAATGTGAGGGATTGAAAGAAACCTGAAACACAAGGCATTTTTCAAATTTTATTCAGTCGTTCAGAAATAGTTCAAGAATGTACGTAGAAATGTTACTTGCATACGTTTTCGCCACTTTTTTTAGATAATAGTTCATCTATTAAATAAGTGGAGTTTATTTTGAGTAACTGACAAATGGTATGAAGGTAAAAATGAAGATTAAGTAGTACAAAAAAGTTACAATCAGTTAAAGTGAAATTAGGGCGAGCACAAAATGGCATTTGAAAGTTCGTGATGTCATAACTCAGTGTGATTATTGATAATAACTCCAGATGGTGTGGACTGTTTGTAAGAGATGAAATAATTTCAGGAAAAAACACTTACATGACAGTTGCTACTTAAAATTAATTTTCTTAAGAAACGATTAATTTTCAGCACAACTTCACGGACGGGACAGAATTCCCAGGAATACGCATGTGAACTGAATTTATCATCCTCAAGTTTGTTTGCAACCAGGAATAGATGAATAATGGTGCTATTTTTGTTTCTTAAAATTAAGATTTACAAACTTATGCTCTTTCTACTCCGTCACAAAAGTCACACTTATACATCAATATGTCTTCATCATTTGAAACATTAAGAGTTTTAAATGTACATAAAAACACTGAAAGTAAAGTGAAGG